TTTTTTTTTTTTTTTTTTTTCGTTCTGTTCATTTTCATTGTATATCATACTGTAATTGTCGATTGCAGCTGTACGATTATACCTATACTTGTACATACGTATATATGAAACAAAGGACTTTCTTGGCCTTATCAATGACGTAGCGTGACTTTAAGTCGCAGACCCTTATAAGAGACGTTGAACGTGACGTCAATGTCGCACGATAAATTTTCATATTAAAGTTCAACGTTTTATTGGCTTACTGATGTTTCACTTGGATAACACAATTTTCACATATACAATTACGATGGAGATAACGCGGTAATGGAAAAACCCTTCGTGATCTTCCTTGAGCGCCTCAGATGTCGCTCCATTCTATTCGTACTACGTAATGAAAGTATTGTTGTGGTCCTAATGACAAGCATAATGCGTAAGTAAGTAGGTGACTGAGTGCAGGCATTACGAATAACAACAGCGTCGTTCGAGCGAGTTCAATGATTGCTATTTACTATAGTAGCCTATTAAAAACCTTAGGTTATTTTCCATCATGAGAATCTGAGGCGTCGTTGCCTTTGCTTTTTTACGATGCTCGATCCACGAATGCTCGATCATCCTTAAATTTATTATTGGAATTGATACTGCTGGCTGTTCGCGTTAGAAAAGAAGCAGAAGCATTTATCGTTATTTCCATTTCGGATTTACACGCAAACAGTTTGTCCCAGTTTTTCGTCACACCTCTGCAACGATTGCGTGGACACCCGTAGGACACGTGTTAAATATTTTTATAGCGTTTGCTATCCTCTTCGATGTAATGAAGAAATCGTTATTAGAAAAATGAAAATAAAAGAATTTTCCTCGTTTTTACAATGTATCCAAATATCACGCTTACACGTGTAACACTTTTTAGTACAATAACTGAAAGTTCTAGTTACTTTTTAATGTCCAACAAAAAGCCAATCGCAGCGTTTCATAACCCCATTATCACTTCACCCTCTTAATGCCCCAGGGTATAGCACTGCCGTAATGCTCATCGTGTAACAATTTGCGAGGGAAGAGAAAAATGCAAAGAAAAAAAACAAAAAATCGCGTATCCACGTAAAGTCAATGAGGGTTGATGAGGAGAGGGAAGAGTGGAGGGTGGTAATACTTTTTCAATGCTGCTGAACAAATTAATCCCTTAACGCGTAAATGTACCGGTGGGGGGGGGAGGGGGGAGGTCAACTCGACCCATTCCCTGTAAGGGGGATGGGAACAAAGGCGACTGAAAAGTCCGATGACTCCCGAGCAGGTCCTTCACCCTTCGAGAAGTAAAGAGAGAGAGAGAGAGAGAGAGAGAGAGAGAGAGAGAGAGAGAGAGAATGCAAGTAAAAGAAGGATACACGTAGACTACGCACGAGTTTACGTACCTACGTACGTAGGTACCGGCGCACGCATATTTGAACCTGTCTTTGATACGTATACGTATAAGATGCGTTATACATATGTCAACGAAGGGATACACACTATACACGCATGAACCTTACGCGTACGCAATACGTATAGTACGTATATAGGTATATATATATATATATATATATATAGGTATATGTACACGTATATTCACAGTGAAGAGACGCTATTTCACGCACTGGACTTACGCGTATGTTTATCGTAACCACATATGTGGGTACGCATGAACACGCACACACGTTGCAGCAGACGCGTACCTGAATCCGAACCTTCGACTTTATCCTCGTCCTGCTGACTCAGAGAAACAGTTTTGACGATTCAGCTGAACCCCGAATGCGAAATCGTATCGACGGATCTGTCGTCACTGCGAAAAAGCTCGCGTACATATATGATTCACGTGTAATACGAAGGATCGTCAAATTCTCAAAGAACTTTCGGTTATTCGTAACGTGCATTGGGGATAAAAATACATTTGTTTCGGTAATAACGCTATGGTACATTTAATAATGGTGAAGAAAATTTTTTTTTATTGACAAATTACGATAATTGTTCATTTCCATAGTTTCGTGAGGATTGGATGAAATACCGTGTGGAGTCAATGACTATCCTAGCAACGTACCATACGTGGTTTCATATAGTCAACCAAGGACGGTTCTATAGTCGAGACGCGATCTGCTAAGAACGAGTTGTTTCGCGGATGATGAGGATGCACATTGGAAGATGCTGCAGGGTTGGCCATTCTGTATTTACAGGTCTGGAATAAGCGTGTAACTGGTCCCACGTGTGTACGCACTGGGTGCTACGTAAACGGCTTAAAGGCCGTGATATCAACCACGGTAATTCAAGTGGCTCCTTTATGATCGCATATATATATATATTTTTTTCCTTTAGTCGACGCGGTCGTCGTCTAGGCGCTTAATTCAAATTCTGGAATAGGGCCAACGTTAGACGAGTGAGAGTTAGACGAGAACAAAAAATGTATTTTTTTTCTTTTTTCTTTTTACTTATTTCTTGTTGTTGTTTCTTCCACTTCGTCTCTTCATTCTGGGTTTTTTTTTTCTTTTTTTTCTTTTCATGGAGCAGTGGAAAAAGCCAACGCAGTCATCGAGAGTGCTCGGTGTCTAAACGTCACTGACCTGCCTCACGCGAGCATAAAACCCTCTTGGCAACCCTCTTTTTATTTAACACTGCGTATATATGTATATTCGTCTTTACGTATGTTACTGTATATATACATTCACATAGGTAGAGTATTATAGCAGTAACTACGTCTATATAGGTATCTCCCTATCTAACGGGTGGACTTTTATTCGTACCTACGCATACCGTAATACTGGCTGAATACAGTCGAGGGAATGCAAATGTCGCGTTTAACCCTGCAAGTCCACTGCGGAGACCATACGTGATGACCCTGGTGGTACCAACTCGCAAGCATAGCTTGCTTGTGTGGTATATGCCTGGTCACGTAACGTTTTACTTTAAAGTAACGGCTCCGCATTCTTTTGCCGGTCCTTCTTATGTGAAATTTGATAAAACGAAAAATAACATTCCTTAATCCATTCCGTCCCTCTTGCTTTTAACAGCCTTGAATACGTATATCGGCTGGATAAAAATTCTTAACAATCCTTACCTAGCTGACGTAGTATGATACGAGCAGTATTCGTTAAGGCAGTACTGCGCAGTACGTGGATATCCGGTTTAATGTATTATTACGGTATTTTACATATGCACCATCGGGCTTGTAAAAGACGACAGGATTACCAACTAGAGTGCAACCCCTCATCTGTACGAACGCGTTCGTGGCAAATAGGGATTCCTCTTCTCGACCCTACTGATGCAAATCACGTTCCTGATTTGCCGCAGATTTATCCAGACCAGTTAACTATGTTCACCTTCAAAGTTGGCTTGGGTCGAGTTCGTGCAAACCCTCCTTTAGGACGGGGTCGTTGTATTCACCCCCATTTACATATTTTTTCTCCTCTCTCTCTCTCTCTCTCTCTCTCTCTCTGGCTTCGTGTAAACTTTTCACTCCTCGCCAGTATTTACCATTAAGAAGTTTCAGCCGAGTCATGTGGGTCACTGTCAACAAAAAATATACATGTATATGCACGCCTATATTGTTATAATACCGTGTCTGATATCTCTCCTGTTCTACGTGGAACAAGGTGGTAGGCTATGTTCGAAAAATTATGAAAAACTTTAATTGCTCCCAGTAAGGTTAATTTATTAAGAAAAAAGGTACATACCCGCAGTACGTGTATAAGCAGCAGTAGTAGCAGTAAGCATTTACGCACTTACGTAAGCGATCACGAGTACCAACTGGAAAATAGTTTCATTGCCGTACATGACTAAATTCACGACCAGGTCGCCTAGTGTGCTCAATGATCATCATCCCTGTACTGTATTGTTCTGGCTGAACATAGGTAAATGACGCCAGGAAATACGTTCTGCTATGCACGTGTGTATAGTCCAACCATAATATGCTGGTATATTTTATTTATTTATGTTTTCAAATTGGACGAGCACACCGGCATCTTTGACTTCTCGCGTCGCATGACCACTCCATCTAAATGGTGTGACCAAGTCCCAGTGCACCCACGTCAAACGCCCAGTGCAACGGTGCAAACCGCACCGACGAGCGTTATCGCTCTTGTTGCCGTCGTCCCAGTTTCTTCGCTCCCACACGCTCACGGGGGCGCTGGGTCTCCTATGTGCGTTAGTATAACGTATGTCGCTATGCACCGTCGATGAAAACAATGACGCCACTCAGGATGCATTCTCGAGCGAGATACCGTGCACTTTGAGCATTTTCACTTTTTTCGTCCTTCGTGCGTACTTCTTCCTCATCAGTTTGTTCCTGCCTGGCTCCGTACCCTCGTTTAAATAACGCTCCCGGGTATATCGAGGTGGATGAAAATCAGGTGGGTCACTTATGAGCGCCCTCTGGTCCCACGTAGAGTGCGTCGTGTCTCTGCAAATAATTCATTGTGTTATACCGAGTGATGAAATTTCATCGCTCGCTGGTATATTCTACTAGTTTAACAAAGGAGCTATTGTCTTGTGTAATTAGCTATTGGTAGTTGTATATGCTTCTCTACTATTAACAACGGCGCAGGAAGGAGCATGCGCGGACGGCGATACCCAAGCACTTCGGAGGCCGCGTGTCTTCTTAGAATTAAGGAGGAGGAAATTATCAGTTGAAAATATTATCGTTGCGCTTGGATTTCATGGGGGGGTTTTTATTTATTTTTTATTTCTCTTTGTCGTTACTGCGTACTCTGAATGTAGCCTGCTGACTGGCTTTTATTATAGTAACGCGCTTACTGTACGACTAGTGATTCTGCTAGCCGAACTCACGCGGTGCATCTCCTCGGCATCGGGCCTAGGGTTATTTTTGTTCCTACTATATAAACTCAGAAGACAACACCGACCAACAAACATAACACCGCTATCACTCCTCGAATGTATTCTCAATAGCAATTCTGATGCGAAATCACTTACCGCTTTGGAATTTTTATATATCGAAGACCTGCGAGTGCTAGAAAATATTTTTTTTCGACAAAATCACCTAGACAACTTAACCCTAACGGCGAAAATTTCTTCGTACTCGTCAACTCGTCGACGCGCATGGGGAAGCTGGGTATGGAAAAAAAAAGTACACAGTACCCTCGTACTCATTGATTCGAGGATGCATTGGGGGAAGTTCAATGTGCAATGTTCAATGTAGCGCACGCGGTACATTGAACGAAGCGCGTGACTCTACCGTGTAAATTTTCGAGTTAAATGCTTGGAGATTTTTCGTTAATAAGAAAAAAAAGGAACAATGACAAATATTCACTTACAGTTTCGTCCTTCGTGATCGCTTATACCGGTACAGCAGCCAATCGGAAACTCTCACTTTCGAATTCGCCATTTCTTCTCTTACACCCAAGCAGGTGCGCCTAACCAGGAGTACGTCTACTCCATTGCCGACGAGCAAAGTCGCAAAAGGGAGAGAATACGAGAGACTGGAGAGAGGAGAGAGAGAGAGAGAGAGAGAGAGAGAGAGAGAGAGAGAGGATATATATATATATATATATATCTGTATATATATGTGTATGTATATACATACGAGTGTGTATAGTGGGGGAGGGCGAGATCATTGAACTCGACCAGTAAGCAGAGAATGACGGTGTGCAGCAGCACGGAGAACCGCAGAGTGAACCAAGGATGGTATGCATGCATGCACGCATGCATGCACATACGTTATGCACGTATGTACGGCCAGGCCAGTCAGTAACGATGTCATTAGTTTAGTCAGTCAGCGAGTCAACAACTACAGTGTTTCGCCGTTGTTGTTGAGGCTCCGCAAACTTTTTGCAAACTCCACTCCGCTACACTCCACTTCACTCGGGCCATCGGATCGACACAGTAATGGCTACTGTGTCTTCAGGGCCCCGTATCTTTTGGGACTTGAGACACTCCTTATCGCGAATGTTGGTCGTTCCGTTACCCTGACAATTTTTTAATGATAGTCAACCAATATAGGAGAGACTCGCTGCTTCCTTTACGTGTCTCATAGAACTGTCTGTTTTTCCATAAGAAGTGGGCTAGCAATTTTTTTAGAATTTAAGTAAATGCGGTGGGGTGGATGCTCAGTGCTTGAATTATTAGTGACAGTCGTTTTTTCTTTCACTTACATTTTAATCATCAATTTGATCAATTTTTGGGTTACTTCGTGTAGTGAAATTGGAAATTTCATTGCTTGGCTATCTATATGATATATTTGCATTTTTAGTCGTGCATGAGTCATGAGTCGACAAGGTCTCGTTACAACACATACTTATTGTTCATTATTTGAGTGTTTCTGTTGATACAAACGTAAATACACGTACTTAACACATTCTTCGTACGTTTACGCATACGTCCTTACCTTTTCTTCGTATGTTTGATTTCGGAACGTAGGTGCCACTTTGACCGTGCGATTTACATTTCTTATCTGTGTATTGTCGTGAAGTGGATACAGTCAATGAGGAATTGACATTGTCACTATGTGCGATTAGGGTCTCAGGGTAACGTACTGGAGTTGATAAAGAGTGAAATTCACAAAGTATAGGAAGCAGACGAACTGCATTCAGACAAACAGGTTGTCGCAATTTGGAAAAGGTAGAAATTAAAGAAAGTAGGTTCAGCAAACATAAAAAACCCTTAATTAGCATACTACTTTAAACGTTTCCTAAGTTGGCATTACTGACTGTAGTTTAGAAGACGCTGTCATCCTTGTGGCTCTTTTACTTGGTGCGCCACGGTATCTCCCTCTGTAAATGCTGTACGCTACTACTGGGGCAATTCTTGAGTCAAGTCGAACAGTTAGTGCTGGTTATTTATCCAGATGTCGTGCCGGTCGTAACGTAAGGAGACTCGAGCGTCTTCACTATTTCGTTTAGGCTGATCAGATTCAGGAGATCGTGTGTGATATGTAAAATTATTGTAGTTTCTACGCGAGAGAGGCGTTAGATAAGGATTTTCAACGTCAGAGGGTCAATGACATTTTTCTTCTTTTGCTTCCTTCTTTCTTTCCTTCGCCACCTCTGTCTCTCTCGCTATCCTCGTTGCGCATTTCTATTTCTTAGTCTTCCTTTCTCTTCCCCGCGTGTTGCAGCTACGTTGTTGTACTTTCGCGGTCTCGAGTGTGCGTTTGACATTAAATATGTTAATATATGGTAGCTATGACTCAATACCGCAGTCAGCCATGCGATTCTCCTATTATCACGCAGCGGCACTTGTGCAAATAATGTACAATTGGGATTTGATACGATTGCTTGCGGAATGACGCGTAGGTCTAGAAAAACTGGTGTTTACATGTTCCATGTCCGATAATAGTGAAGGCTCAGTGTGTATCGAGTGGAGGCAAATTACTTCATGCGAAAAACTCACGGAACATTCGCCGTTTGTTGTCAAGTGGATGCAACAGGATTTTGTAAGAGGACCGTAAGGCATTTAAGTTTAACCGTGTCTCTCAAGTGAGAGGTATCTCGTACCAAGAGACCGCGGACCATTTTATGCAACGATTATGCAGTTATTATGCAGTTTTCTAAGTGTCCCGCACCATACGCAGAGCCGAAATAAAATAAGCTGTGGAACCTTGACCCGCCAATTCGCCAGGAGGACTGACGCCGTCTCGGTGAGCCGGCGGGTAGCGACAGTAGCTACGCCTAGCGGCTTAAGATACTAAACACGCGCCATGGAATTGGGACGTACGTGAGTCTTTTTGCGGCTCGTAAGAATGCCTTAAATCTACGTGACAATTTCGGCGCCCTATTCGTGACTTTTGTTAATGTGCGGCTACGATCAGGCGACGGAAAATTCAATGGGGTTCGTTAACCTTCGCGAATCAAGCACTATTTGAAACAGCCTCTATAGGCTTCTAAAGCCGATGTCGATCGCGTTGCAAACACGTCCGCTACTTTCACCAAGGGTGAACGTCTTTTGACTCTATTCTCGTCTTTAGCCGCCCTCGTGTGTATGTACGGCCGTCTCAACTCTCTTGACTCCATCTCCATTCTCCGCGGTAAAACCTGTTGCACTCGCAAGAGAGTTTTCATCGTCGCGACAAAAGCCCTGCCGGGATGATACACTTTCCACGTGTTTGACTCTGGAATTTTCCTCATGCCCGTCATTGCGTGCAACTGCATCCCTTAAGGGATCATCACAGTGTAAAATTTTCAAAAAATCGATCTTTTTTTTTCATTATCTGATAGTATACACGGTTATAAACATTCTGTCCAATTTTTATGACGAAATTCGAATTATTTCGGTGGCTACAGCCTTTCTTAGAAAAAGGGATTGGACGGTCAGACCTGGCGCACTCCGAACTTTAAACGCGTTTTTCTCGGAATGGTGTTTTTCAAAACGGTGGCCACTCCGAAGGAAAAATTTTCTAGCTATCCATTTGAAATTTTAACAGAACATTCTTCACGTCATATTTCTTATGTTGCTATGGAAGCTTTTTTCTATTTTTTGAAATATTCCTATTTTTTTTTACGAAAAACTGTCGAATAAAAAGGCTAAATTTTATACGTTTTGTTCAAACCGACGGCATTTTTTCAAATTTCACTAAAAACAAAAAAGCCTTCATAGGAGCATAGCGGCTTTCCTACAGATTTATAAACCATTTGAAATTTTTGTTTGAGGTAAAATTTGCGCCCGCAATCCTGGCCACCATGGGACACCATTTTTTTTCCATTCAATTTTCCACAAATAAAAACAACGTTAAACAATACATGAAGAAATTTTTAAAAAATCATTTTGTATAATTCATAGATGCTTCAATTTGTAAACAAAAAATTAGACCGATTACTTTATTCCATCAAAAAATTCAATTTTCCACAAATAGCATAGCGGCTTTCCTACAGATTTATAAACCATTTGAAATTTTTGTTTGAGGTAAAATTTGCGCCCGCAATCCTGGCCACCATGGGACACCATTTTTTTTCCATTCAATTTTCCACAAATAAAAACAACGTTAAACAATACATGAAGAAATTTTTAAAAAATCATTTTGTATAATTCATAGATGCTTCAATTTGTAAACAAAAAATTAGACCGATTACTTTATTCCATCAAAAAAAAAAGAATCGCGAAAATCGGCTATTTTTCGGGCGGTCACACCGTGATGATCCCTTAAGTCAGTTATCCGACTGTACCGGATTTTAAAGGAATAACAAACGAACGGTGAGTCTGTACAATTTTACTTTTTTTTTGTTAGCCACCATCGTATTTGCGAATTTGGGGATCAGCGTAATCGCATTCGCAGAACTATAGCTAGCAAGAAAATATTATCATAATGCCTCGAGTCACTCTTAGAGGATTCTTTGACTCCGCGATGGCCTTGACGCCACGGAATGCGGAGCATCGGGAAACGCCAGGTAGTATCATGCGGGTACGCCCGAAAAAAGTCCTCGGCGTCGGTCGCTCAAGTGAGCTCCAGCTCCTCCGTCAGGATGAATTCTCGAATATCCTGACCTACGACGAGAGTCGAAATCGTATAAATTTTTGTTTTTCGGAATTGGCATTTTAAGAAACGGTGCAGCCGGGAATGAGATTTCTTTGAATTGGCCAATGAAATTTAACGCCGAGCGTGTCTTATCATGTTTTTGGGATATTTGATCGATCATAAAAAAAAGTTCCAAATCGAATCTTACATGTAAACATGATTGTGAAGTTCGATGTGACGTGGTACAATTGAAATTCCTTTTCAGGACCTCGCTCATCGCAAGTGAAATTCCACAAATGACCCGACCAAAACAAATTTCAAACTTTGCTCCGATCGGTCTCTGCCTTCGTATAATCCGCCCGTTTCTTTGTTCTGGCAAATATTTAATCTCGATTCCGTAAGCGGGAATTTGGGGCGCGCGGCATTAATGCATATACAATGGTTTCTGTCAATGGGCCAGGGCGAGAGTCATTTGCAATATGAAACGGCGGCCAAAAAATGGGCGATAATCACTTTCTTCGAAGGTGCTCACCTTAATTTACGGTCGACGAGTCTCCATTATGTTTTCCGCGAAACCGAATTTTTTCAATTGGTCGCTCGTCGCGGTACGGCACACCGCGCGGACCTAACCTAGCCTAACCCGAGCCGGCTCAGCCTAATCACATCGCGGCGTTCGTCCTACGTCGTCATTCGCCTAATGATCCTTTCGTCCGTTTCAGCCACGAAATGTCAATCGTGACCGCGACGTTGAATATCGTGTGTGGCAATTTATCTTTCATGAAAATAACCTTATATGCCCCAGCGTAGCGAGCCAGCCGACGGCCCTTTATTCCTTTAGAATTAGTCGAGACACTGACAAACGACGACGCTATGAAAAATCTCAAAATAATCCTCGGCAAGATCCCCGACCGAGTGCAATAATATTTTCAGCCTGCATAGCCATCTTATTGTATTTATGCGAAATATTGGATTTTCCATTAAAGAACCGTCTTTTGTTCTTCTCTGTTATTATATTGCCATACTGCCTTAGCTGGAATTACTGAATAGATACAAGTCGATCCTAACCTGTCGCGAAACACATGCGAGAAAGGTAATACTTCAGAACTGACGAATGAGCCAGTCCCACCAGACAAACTGTGCATCGTGTCTCAGCTCGCAGATGCTATTTCGAACTTAATGACATCATTATGTCGAAATGTTCGGCCGAATTCTTTCAGCCCTCCGCTGACCCGGGTTTGTGTTGTACACGTAGACGTCTTTTTGGTAGCGATTAGAAGTAAAGAAACGATCGGTGTACGTCTGTCTAGTCGAGAAGACCTCTCTGACCATGCACGTATCCGTTTGGCAATGCGCAGGCAAACTAGAACCGCGATGCACAATAGTCACGCGATATAAAAGAAGGAAGCCGATGGGAAAAAATAAAGAGATAGAATTTATCCTTCATGAATTCTTGACAGAAGGTTCTCCCGATGGTGTTACGTCACTCGCATCACTTGCCCATAGAAAGTGCATAGGAGTCCATAGGAGTGCACGAGAGTGCGTGAGCGGCCGAGAGACGCGCGTAAACGTCCTTGCGTTTGCTTTGCATATAGACGATATGGCCCGGAGCACAACCTTGGAGCTCGTAGAAACCAACTGCAGCTCTCTTGGACGTCATTTTTTTTCTGGCTCCGCCATTTTGTCTTCTCCATTTATTTCTCTTACTCATTTACTATTGTGCCTCGAGCCTAGTAGAGACGTTTGTTGTGTCTCTGCGAGAAATGAAAACAAGTCTCTCGGTGGAAATCGAAATTCTAACGGAAAAAGACGCCGACGGTGGCGCCACTGTAGACCCAAGCCATTCGTCGCGCAGCACTTCTTTTCTTTTCACATGGATAACGTCTTTATATACGTACTTTCGCTATTTTTGACATCGATACGTATGCTACTCCTGCGCATTCCCACGATACTCGGCAGTATTATTGTGAGTAACGCCTTCTTCTCTTTATTTATTTTTTTTTTTTCGTTCTTCATTCAGCTGTTTCGAAATGCAACCAGTATTGGAGAATACTTACCGTTTGAATAGTCGTATACGAATTCTTTTGTTATACGTACAGATACGTATTTCTGAATTGTTCTTATATTACGAGACATCGTTTTGTGCCAGAATCAATTGTCAATTTTACGTGATCCGGTGTATGAATCAAGCGTCGTAAATTTACGTGTTAATAGATGGGAATGTGTGATACGAAGATAATGACGGGACACAGGACGAGTTAGTAGTATCGTATGTGGTTACGACAAAAAAAAAAGAGGAGGAAAGGTCACGCGAGTAACGTAAAAAGAAAAACGAAAAATTTTAGCACCTGCCAAGGTTAGTCCTGGTATGAGCAAACAGGCTGATTTATGCCCGTCGCGTTGACACACATTGTAAGCAAAAAGAAGAAAAACAAAGACAGTTTCTTAAATTGCACCTAGAAAATGGCTGTCGATATCACATATTCCAACCCTGTGCAATTATTCTAGCCAGGATTCGTATTTTCAGCCGAGGTTAGGAATCTCGTCGTCGCGAAGCCGTTTTCGACGTTTGTTTTCCCGTCGCGCGTGGCTGATCGTTAAATTTGAAGTTGTTCTGGGAATTGTATATCGTTTCATGAAAATATGCACGCGAACGGGGTACTGCAAAGCGAAACCACTAAACGTGGGAATGTCCATAGAAAATATTTGTGTCAGCGGTTAAATTCGCGTTTCCATCTATCGGTGAAAATAGGAAGTATAAATTACATTGTATTCCACCGCATGGAGAAATCGATTCGTTCCAGCATTAAATTCAATGGTCTCGTCCTTAAGGACACTATGCACAAGAAATCCATAGCGAAGGGACATTGGACCATTCGCTTCGTAGTCCTATCGAGGACGAAAAGTATCGTTACAACCAAATTCGATCGCAAGGACTTCGATCCTAAGGATCTACCGAAGTGAATTATACTTCTAGAAATATCCTTAGCGATCCTTTCCAGCTGCAAATAAGTCAGAAATAAGAAATAACAGACTGCATAAAACAGGAAGCCAAATAGAAATTCTTGAAA